GAGTAATAATGTAGCCAGACTAGGTTCACGTGAACTTTGAACTTTGTGACGTCATATCCATTTAACTACCTTGACGCCATGTCCATCTTGAATTAGCCCCATTTACTGGGAAAACATGTTCGGGCACGTACGTCACGGAGCATCTTGAAACGGTACACACTACAGTCGTGTATTATATTTACTGAAAATTAATGGAAACACCTTATAACCGACTCCCATCAATTATCCTGGAGATCATGAGCGCCATTCAGAGCGTAATGTTTCCTCCAGAAATAATTATTTCCGAAACTCCACAGTAAGGTTAAGTATAAAATGAACTGCAAGAAAACTTAATGCGTCTACTCTTTGGTTCGTGTTGAATAAATTAAATACTGCAACGCAGACTGTTCATCGGTCATTCTTGTTCTACCTCGTTTGGTTCGTTTGGAATTTCGCGCAAAGCTAAACGTGGGCTAGCCGTCCATAATTTAGTAGCGATAGACTAGAAGGAAGGAAGCTAGTCAACACCACCCACCGCCAACTCTTGGTCTACTCTTTTTACAAACAAATAGTGGGATTGACCGTCACGTTATAACGCCACCACCGCTAAAACGGCGAGCATGTTCGGTGACGGGATTCGAGCCGGTGACCTTCAGATTGCGATTCGAGTGCCTTAACCACCGGGCCATTGTATAGCCAAACGAATCACCACTGGGCTTCCTTGCTTGCCTGTAGACCTACTTACAATTCAACAGCAAAGCCTGGAATAAGAACTACAGTTGACACTTGGTAAGAACCACAAGAATCATGTATATTAAATTACATGAAATGTTGTGATATAAAATTTACTGCAATCACGATAAACAGATATTCTGTCATACGTGATAACACCGTACAAATCAATGCTATTACCTTACACGAAACGTTAAACTTGTGGCAGCAGCTACAAGTCATAAGTATTACCTCATATGCAAAGTTGTAATCTACATTTGTAACAGCAGCTACAAGTCATGAGTATTACTTTACATGCAACGTTAAAATCTATACTTTTGTCAGTAGTCACAAATCCTGAATACTGCCTTACACGAAACGTTATAATTTACACATGTAGCAGCAGCTGTAAGTATTGTATATTACCTTATATGAAAAGTTATAATCTACATTTGTAACAGCAGCTACAAGTCATGAGTATTACTTTACAT